GAGAGAGCGGGAGTGAACAGACCAATGAATTGCATTGGCAGGATTGTAAGGGAAAGCATTGACAGACAAGTTAAAAAAACAACAAACAAGTGAATACCCATTTCAGTTATCCAAACAATCTTACTGAGGAAACAACACGTCCACATATGTGGGAATGACATAAACCCAAATACTGTAGCTGTATGTTTAAGTAAACATTTTACAGTTTATCTATAAGTATCTAAGAAGTCAGTCATCTGTGTACTGGAAAAAAGTTTTAGTATTTACATTGGCTATGCTTTTCATGGGTAAAATTCTTAAATACAGAAGATAATGTAATATTTATCATTCTTACATTTTTTGCTACTCAGACTTCCTAAGAGTATTTACCAAAGTTTAAAATACATCCATATTTGTTGTAATGTTTACTACCCATTGTGTTCCAGTTGGTGTTTTGTGTAACAAAGTGACTATGCGTCTGCATATTGGTGTGTACTCCCTGTCACCCAAAATGGTCACTTCCACTGTTCTGACAGGTCCGTAATTGTAGTGTAGGACACTAGCCCACTAACTGCTGCCTTCATTAAAATATCGTAAGTGTTTTCCATTATCTTTTTTGCTCTTATGTTGGCTTCCTTAACTTTAAAAGGCAATTGCAGGTAGTTTCAGAGTTCTCCCTTAGTGTCTGAAGCAGACTATATGGGATATTTTTCATCTCTGTATTAGTTAAAAACACTGGATGGGTAGAAATATTTTTGAGGAAATTATTATAAATTTTTATCTGTGGCTGTTTTAAACATCTCTACTTCCCATCAGTGACTCCAAACAAAGTATAGAAAAATTTCAACAACAAACTGTGTTAAAACAAAATTCTTTAGTAACAGAATCACTGTGATCCTACTTACAAGGGAAAAGAAGCTTACTATGTCACTATATTTCTAAAATCTTCTGTATTCAAAACATGTTTGGATATTAAGGCCTTCGAATAGCTTTGCAGCATTAGTATTTCAAAAATCTAGAATTGAACTGATACATAACCAAATTTGTTAATATATAATATTGCAGGTGAACACAAATAATAGAGACATAAATTCACTGCAACAATATTTCATTATATAAATTTTACATAGTTCCAAGTTTTCACTAGGTGGCAGGCTTAGCTAATGTATTCAATTTCTCAGTATAAAATTACATAAATGGTTTGGGCTGATGTACATAGGAAGAAATGCAGGCACGTGAGTCATGCTTTGTTGTCCTGCCTAATTTCTCTAGAAGTTGCTTAAGCACAATAAATGAAATCAAGCAGGTGTCATTCACTCTAACACTTATGTCCCCAGCTACATACACTAGGCATGTGTGTATTTCTGTTTGATATAATGTTTAGAAAGATTGCAAAGGAACCCAAGTAATTAAAAATGATTAATGATGATAATCATGTATGTAAAAGGTAAACACTACATAGTTTCAGAGAAAGGAGATGTTCTCCCAAATTAAGTGACTTGTTATGGGCTTGTGGCTGTTTTCCCTACAAATTCCTTCTCTTGTTATCTGTCTCATCACTGCCCTAGATGCTTCTCACAAACTATCTATTTACTAGTGTTTAAAATATACTTAATTTAGGAGCATTTAGTAACCCATGGTTTAATGGAATCCATGAAAAAATAAACAGCCTGATAATTTGTGAATTATTGTTGTTTTCTCTATTAATTTGTGGTGTGTTCTTAAGTGCAGGAATTTCACTTTATACATCTTCAATTGTCCTTGAATCTAGAACTTCCTAAAAGTAAATGCTTTGATCAGTTGATAAGTTAAATACTAAACACTGCCCTGAAGGTATGCAAATAAACACGAAGTTGTGTCCAAGCAATCACTATTTAAGCATTGCATAGGGAGGCACAGTTTCCAGAATGTTGCGTTTTTAAAACAGAGTTGGCTTTTAACACAGGAAGCAGAGACACGTTGCTGAATATTCTAATGACTTACTGCCTCATTTGTTTCTTCTTGGTTTTCTTCCAATGGTCTGCCTATTTCTTTAATATAAGTCAACAGAAGTCTACCTTGCAATGTCACCTGGAATATGTTATTTTAGTGCTCTTTGGCTCAGTTTTCACGTCTATAAACTAATAATGGTAGCTAAGTCAGGGAAGAGTTTCGAGACGTGAAGAGGAAAGATGGCCCTCTTGTTTTCTAACTGAAGTTGGAATCTGTTGAGATCCTGAGAGTTCAGATCAATAGAGACCATAACATCAGACAGGAGGTTGTGACTAAGCTTTTATAGGGATCGTGGCTTCTTCAATCTATCGTGAAAAACAATGGTCAGAGACCATGCTGGGCAACCAGGCTTGCTATAGCACAGGGCCTACTGTGTGGCCTTGCATCAACCAGTTTGAAGATTGTACAGGGATGGCATCAGGACTGAGCCTCAGGTCTCTGCTGGAAGCACTAAGCAAGGAGACTCCCGCATAACTACGGGGAATTTACCTGAGTGATTGCAGAGGAATGGGCAGGTGTTGCAGCAGATAAAATGCAGCTTGGTCCATCCAGATCCGAAATTGAAGTGTTTGAGTGCCAGTGTCTGTTCCAGCTTCTGATTCCAGATTCCTGCTAACGTACCTCCCGGAAGAGCAGCAGATAGTGGCTGTCTGGGAAACTGCTGGAATGGCTTCCTGCCCTCTGACTTCGGCCTGATGCAGCAGCTCTGGCTGTTACAGGCTTTAAGGGAAGGAAATAGAAACTTGATCTTTCTGTCTCTCTCTGTCCCTCTACCTTTCAAATCAATAATGAAATACCTACATAGCCTAAAATTAAATGCAATATACACCTCTAAGAATGGTCATTCATAAAGTTTAAATAGAAAAGGCAAAAAGGGAGAGCCTTAAGTCAGTTAATTTTCCTTTTAAAAATACAGAATTATAAGCCTAAGATCATTGTCTAGTTAAAGCCTTTGGGCCTTTTGTTCACAGGCCTATTTTGGAACTATTGTTTATTCGTCTGTGTTCCCTCTGTCATAGATGACTGAATGTTATTTGTGACAAATCATATGCTAATAAATATCTTTAGAGACATGGTATTTTAAAATATTTCTTAATAAATACTTTTGAAACTCCCATATGGTATGAAATGTGTCAGTTTGTGGCATTTCCTTGGTCTACCAGATGGACTTTCCTGGCCCCAAAGTCAGTTGATATTTTTTTTTCTATCAGGCTGCTCTTCTAAATTTTTAGGAATTTCAGAAAAACAGGAAGTTTAGTTTATTCATTCTCATTGGTGACATTTGAGTAAGAAGAGCAGAGCACCTAAAAGACCATCATGTGGAATACAGATGATGCAGTTTCTTCGTAAACTTATTAAATTGCAACAGTTTGTTCATCCAGCTTTTAGTCTACATCATGTACACAAAAGCACAAACAAGAACTGAAGTGTCACTTTATAAAACTGAATTAATTAAAAGGCTGTAAGGTGAATTACTAGGTACAGAGAGGAAGGCGTAATGTTTCTGATATCACAATTTAGTAGAACTGAGGCACAGATAAAATCTATCACACTATACAGCAAAAGGTATGCAGTAAACAGTATCTATGACGCTCAGTAAACCCGATTGGAGTAAATGATTCTGACTTTAGAAGACTTCTAAATTTTCATTTCAAGGCCAGAGAAAAATTTGAAACAGAGATCAAATGCACAAAAATTTAGTTTTTTTTTTTTTTCAAACAATCAGCATTGCGATTTGCTTAGATGAGGAAACATAAAGCTCTGAAAATGAAGATTGAGCCTTATATTATTGGCTACATTTCTTAAGGCTGAAATTTCATAAAACACCTGGTGCTATGTTTTTAAAAGAGACTTGCATTTTTAGTCCGGTTGTGTAGCCAAGAGTGCCTACAAATTTCCCCAAGGACCCCCTGCATGTGTCACCTAGCCTGCTGTCCTGAGAGGAGGGGGCTGTCCAGGCAGATCCTCCATGAGCAAGTGGCCAGACCAGAGCATGGGAAGCACTGGGACTGAGGGACGGGGCTCCCTGGTTGAACTAAGCACAGTCTCATACCGTCAGGAACCAGGAGAAGCTCCCTGAGAAAGGAGCAGGCAGCAGGAGTAGATTTGTTAGGGAGCCACGGATAGACTGTGTAGCCTGCCAGTTTTCAAGCAGTTTTAGTCTCAGAGGTCTCAGTCAAGGGCGAGAATTTGAAGAAGTCGTAACTGAAAGGCAAACGTTGAGAAACAAAACTGATTATTACAGGAGTATCCAAAAATTTGAATCAGGATAGCTCCCAGGGAAAACACAGATCTCTGGGAAGGCTCAAGTCAGCAACTGCGAAAATAAAAAGATGTTCATTGTGGAATGATCCTCCTGTTCTTGGGGAGAAAGCCCGTGTGTCTGTGTGTGTGTGTTTTTGTGCATTCCTGTGTGTGCACAAGGATAGACAAGAGTGAAAATTCCTCAGAAATCTTCTTGCAAGAATACTGGCAGTGCTTTAGCCTCAGTCCCAATCCACTGTAGTTGAAATTTTCTCAACATTATTTTCTTTCCTTAGAAGTCCATTTTGGCAGGCTGTGACATTTAGAAAATTGCGTATGATGGGAACGTGGAGCCATAGGACAAAAAGGAGTTCATTTAAGGCACGAGACACTTACCATGTACATTTTTTGCCAAACACTGTGTTCTAGTATAAGTTCTGTTTTATTTTCATCCACACCGTAATCTAATAACTACCTAAATCAGCTTTATGAGACTCTCTTCTAAACTATTCTTCAAAATTAGAAGAATAAAATGTCGAGTCAAAGCCAACGTAGGGAGAATATTTTTCTTCTTGTGCTGAAATGCTGGTTGAAATATTCTTTGGGAAAGCAGTGTTTCCGTTTTCTTGTGTTGTGCAGAACATTTTATGTGGCACTGCCTGCTGTTGGAACCGGGTGCAGTGTTCTGCCTAGGGCCTGGAATCACTCACTCATAAATATGTTGTTGTAAAAAATATCATCTTGGATTGTGAGTGTAATGCCTGTTTTTTCCCCCTGAAATACAGGTTGTTTTCCAGTCTCAGTATTATCACAGAACTCACTCACCCAGCCAACATGAGATTTATGCAGTTCAGAGCCAAGGACTGTTATTCTCTTGCTCTTTCAAAGCTGGAAAAGGTAAGACCTCAGTTTATTAATAAATTGCATTTATCCATTTTGATCTGAAAAATAACGATGTATCTTAACAAAGATGTCATGAGATGAGAATTAACTGAATATTTAGTTATTAAAGTCCCTATACATAATTTAAGAAAATGTGATAGATCCTATTCATTTACATGGCAGGTAAGATTTTAATGATCATCATTAATCATAAATTGAAACATGATTTGTGAAAGACATCAATTACAGAAATGTACACACTTACCGATAATGTGCGTTGTATTACAAGTGACTTTCTATATTGTGAATCTTTGTTGTTTTCCAAACTCCTGAGGGTGTTAGAGAACTTGTAGGCACTGTTGAATGCTGACTTCCTACGGGTCCACAGCACAACGTGGGACAAAGCTGAGTTTATACGGTAGCTAAGTCACAGTGAGGCCCCATCCCAAGAACTTTGGCAATGTGTCAGGGAAGGTTAAGCAAGCTTTTTTTTTTTTTTTTTTGAGAACTGAAAGTTTGAATTAATAAAGGATTTTCAAAATGAACACTTGATTCTAGATTTTGAAGAGTTTAGGATAATGCTATTGGAGTCAGTGGAATTATAAAGTAGTGTTTGTGGACAGAAAGCCATGGTTTCTATGTGAAGAATCAGACTGAACATAGGAGCTTGGCAGCACAGTTTTGTCCTCAGCTTTCATCTGATACTGGTAAACTGGAAGAGTTGGATGTAATAGAAAAAAAGAATAGCATGTAAATACATGTTAAATCTATGTTGTTTTCATCATTTATAAGGAGATGTGATAAAGTAAATGATACTTTTTTGATGAGTTCTTTTTTTTCACTCGACAGTTGTGATTCTGTGCCTCTCTGGACACCGTTATAGTTCCTACTGGACATGTAGTTGAGGAAGGTTGCTCCGTTACTCTCCTGTATTGATTTCTGTCCACAAAGCTGGTCTCACACTACATTGGCTGAGCCCCTCCATGCTCCTTTCATGGGCTTAGAAATCTCTCAGATGTGGAAGCTGAGTTTGAGACAGGAGAAATAACCTTTTCACGATTGTACACCATCAAGCCAGGGCAATAAGGGCCACTTGAGGCCACTGCCGTGCAGGATGGACACTTCCATCAGTTCTCACAGCTTGCATGACACAGAGAGAATGGAAGTCGTGCTCAGAATGGCTCCTCAGCCACAAGCAAACCATTCACTAGGAATCCCACTGAGCTTTGAGCCGGCACCTGGCAGTACAGCCTCCTGTATGACACTTGAGACCGGCTCACCTCTTGTTGAAGAAGTTGGGATCTAGAGTCAGGTTTCCCCGCATCTCTAAGATTCCAAAGGAGTAGACCTACAGAAGTTTCACATCATGTGGATTCTTATCCATGAAGTAATCGTGGGATGTAGCAATAGAGACAGTGTAGAGAGCACACCAAACAAACCATGCAGAACATTTAGCCCGATATTTGACATGTATTTAGTTCTCAAATAAAATATACTAAAATTATAACTGTCAAATATATTTATTGGTATCACTAATCAACATCCTGTTTGGTGTATTCAGTGCCATGCCAAATCAGTTGATGTGGAAAGGTCAGAATTGTGGGAATTTTGTTTAGTATTTATGAGTGTGTACATCTGAGTGATTTTATGTCTATTGCATTAGGGAAAATGAATGACGAAATTGGATTTTCATCTTTGCTGGAGAATCATTTAAAAATAAAATCACTTACTAATCTAGAAATTCTCTAGAAATGTGGAAAGCAGTTTTACTTTAATAAATGTTGAAACTCAATGCTTCGTACATCGCAGGCAGCCAAAGAATGCAAAGGAAGAGCCAACTCTGTATGTGTAAATAAGCATATATGTTGCATATATGTCAGTAAATTACACATCTCTATCCAAATGCAAAAGAAAACTCACCATGTCTTTGCAACAAAAACGTGGTGCAGCATGAATTCAGGCACCTAGACAAAAACCAAAATAAATCGTTTTGCCTTTATGTTCACATTTCTGGAAAACATCTCTCAGGCTCCCAAGAAAAAGTTCCTGGAACTACACTGACTAGAAGTATATTTAGATTTCAGAAGGTTTGCCTTCATTTCAAACAGACAGAGCTTTATAATTGCAGGCTTTCTAAAGGGAATGCCTTAGGAAATGGAATTGAACACAATTTAAAATATGTCAGGAATAGAGAGGCTGAGGAAATAGAATTGAAATCAGGAATGTGGGTGCTTTGGCCAGGGAAGGAGACATCATGCCTGTGGACTGTAAGTGCCCCCAAATCATTTGATCTGGCCTGCTAGGGCAAACACAGGAAAGAATCAGAGTTCAGTAAATGCATAGCAGGCTAGTTTTTAAGTTGATAATTTTATATGGTTTGTGAATGACATTGGAAAGTCCAAATGGCCTTTAGCAGATAAAGGATCACCCCTGTTACGTGCAAAGCCAAAGGAAAATTCTTTTTAATTCACTTATTGAAATGTTACCAATTGAAATTAAAGTTTATCTCAGAAATGTTTTTGCTGTTTGTTTTTCATGAGTTCCATCCCTTCTCTCTCATATAAAAATGTGTTGTAGTCCTACTCCCAGCACCCACCATGTGAGCTGGTTTGGGGACAGGGTCCCGGTACAGTCAATTTCAAGGAGGACATTGGAGAGGAGAAGGCAAAAGGAAGAGAAATGGGTAAAGAAGTCCATGAGGCAGGGATAGAGGGCTTCCTGTATGGTTTTGGGAAGAAAACAAACCTACCAACATTTTGGCCTCAGACGCCCGGCCCCAGAACCGCAGCACTGCAGTCCTTCACACACCAGACTCCATTGCCCGTGAGCTCAGGGGCCCAGCGACTTGAGCCGTGATCTGCTGCTTCCTCAGGCCTTCAACAGAGAGCTGGGTTGAAAGTGGAGCAGCTGGGACAGGCCAGCGATGCAGGCAGAAAATTCGCCTCTATACCACCATACTGTCCACCCAAACAGCGCTTTCTATTACTAGTATTTACAGTTGTGAAAATATAGCTAACTTACTCGTTAGTTATATTCCTGTACCTGTATTCTTGGCACAAGAATGTGTATTTAGGATTAGGAAGCTGGTCTTTATTTACAGTTTCTAGATATATTCTCAGTAATGTTTCCTACAGTTACTGTTTGAGAGATATATAGGTTCTTATGACAATTATTATAGTCTGTATATTTGAAAGGTGTACCTGCTCCATCACTGTAGAAACCCAATGAAGGTTTGATTTCAGGAACAACCATCAGCTTGGCCGTTAACACATTTGTTATTTGTCATCATTTATAAGGATGGATGTGAAATGATCGACTACTGACCCCAGTTGTTATACTTACTTGACTAAATTTAGATATTTTGCTGCAAATCAGGCACTCAAAGGAACTCATTATTTTTATTGGCATCATAAATAACACTTTACTGAGATTGGGCCAAAATAAAAATTAGAAGTGCTCCAAAATGGGGAAGAAATGATCCCAGCTATCACAAGATTCATGGCTAAGCCTCTCTGACCAAAACAAATAAACAAATAAAAGCAGTTAACTCAAAAAACATGACACGTTTATTTAAGTTCTGTATTACACAGGAGTCTTCTGACGCGAAGAGCCCGCAGGTGCAAATCAGCATGCGTATGAGTAGGTTTCGTAAGGAGTGGGCGGTTGGGCAGTAATGCGCTTGGACAAGGGAAGCATGATCTTCTGGTTTAAGGTGGAGACATGTAGTGAGGCTGATCTGTTAAGGATCTTCGTGGTATCTCTGAGCCTTCAGCAACGGGAACAGTCACTTCCTCTGCATATAGTAGGAACCACTCTGCATTAGAAGTGTATGATTGTTTAGGAGAGAATCTAGCAAGCTTTGTGGGAAGAGAGAAGGAGCTAGAGAAGATCAGAGAGATCTTCCTGCTTTTACTGTTTTATGGGATGTCACGGTGGTATGTTTTGGGTGGTATGTTTTACCAAACCTAATCATGACTATTTTCTATAGTCATCCTCACCGAGATGGTTTCTATAGTAAAGGGAAAAGCTGGCGAGCCAGCGTCTCCTGCCAGAGTGACTCGTTGGAATCCTGGTTTCTCCTAGTGTATGCACTGAGAGGCAGCAGGTGGTGACCCAAGGACTTGTGTCCCTGCCTCCCATGTGAGAGACCTGGATCGAGTCTCAGCTACCTGGGTTGAGTCCCAGTTTGGGGAGTGAGCCAAAATAAGGGGACATTCTCTTTCTTTCTCACTTACTCTTTCCTTTTCTTTCTCTCTCTTCATTTCGTAAAGATTAAATGAATAAATATATTTTAAAGATGTCTTTATTCCTTTGAAAGGAAGAGTTACAGTGAGAGGGACATACGCACGCACATCCCCCCCACACATACTCTCACATCTCTGTCAGTTCACTTCCTGAATGGCTGAACAGTCAGGGCTGAGCCAGGCAGAAGCCAAGAGCCAGGAGCTTCATCCGGGTCTCCCATATTGGTGGCAGGGGCTCATGCACTTGGCCCTCCTTCTGCTGCATTCCTAGGCACATTAACAGGTAACTGCATTGGAACTAGAACATCTGGGAAATGAAATGGTTCCCACTCAGGATGCCAATATCACATTTAGTGCCTTAAGGTTACTTTTCCACAATACAAGGCCCAAATATATATATACATTTTTAAGTTAGAATGAAAGAACTGAAAACATAATGAAAATGTGAGCTGAAATTTTGAGGACAATTTCTGCTCTTACTGAAAATGAAGTCTTAGTCTATTATTTGTAGTTGTTATCTGCAGAATTATTCTGCTATTGCCATTGTTCAAATGCACATACGTACATCTCTACACATGCAGAGAAAAAGACAATGAAAGAGAGAGAGATCCTACACCCGAGTTCATTCCTCAAGGCCAGGCTGAAGTCAGGGGAAGGAACTCAGTCCAGATCTCTCATAGGCATGTGGAAGTCCAAGTATTGGCCTGTCACCCAGTGTATCCCAGAGTGTGCCTTCCGGGAGGGTGGAGTGAGATTTAGACCAGGCACTCT